TCCAAATAAAATTTTATATAAAAAAGTTAATTAAAATATTATAAAAATAAATATAAAGAAATTTTTACTCTTAAATTTATAATGATATTTTCACTTTTCCTTCACAAAATAATCACGGAAGTTACGTCAGAAATGGTTAAATCATAAATCATATAAGAAAATTTATTACTTGATGATAAAAAAAAGAAAAACAAGATTACATTCAACTCTCATAAAAAAACAAAACAACAACAACAACAAAAAAAGCAAATTATTGAACAAGATAATATAATTCATTTTACTTTTTTATATTTTTCTAATCAAGGAAAGTGTATATATATTATTCAATTTCATCGTTTAAAACTGTATAAAACTTTATACTTTATTATTATTATTATTTATTTATTTCTAACGAGCTAAGATATGAATGTTGGAGATCTAATATGTTCTGAAGAGATAGAACAAATCCCTGAGGCACGACCCTTACATGACAAGGTGGATAGACCAGTACAGTTGATCCCTTGGGTCATCTGTCGAATTACTAGATAAAAAAAAAAAATAGTCATTCTCTAAAGACAACTACAAACTCCTTTGGTGATTTATCGTTACACCTACACGAACCTTTCTTTGCTATTCAGAACATGATTTTATATAAAGTATTAACATAATTCGATTTATTCACGTTTTAATAACTTTTCTTCAGTAAAAAAGTCATGATAATTCAATTTATTATACTAATAAAATGCTAATAAATTTTTCATAATAACATTTCTATTTTACAAATATTTTATTGATTGCATTAATTTTAAAATATATTTAAAATATCTAAATAGAGTAAATAAAGAGTAAATATTATTGTAATGTTATTACTTTTATCTATGGGTTTTTGTTTGGGGGAGGTAATTTCCTGCTCTTTGAAATATTACATTTTGTAAGTTAAAAAAAAATTAATGTAAATTACNATGCCGTATTTCAATTTCGTAAGCAATGTATATGGATAATCGTTTACCGAATAATTACATCTTAGTTCTATAAGTTTTTCAATTGTCTTTTTCAAACATAATTCTAGTATAACTTTTCGTAATTTTATTCTATATACTTTATTCTTAGTAGGTAATCGATAAAAAAAAACTTATAATTAATTGCATTTACTGTTACACGTTTTGAACGAATTTCAACATGAGATAGGTTAATATATTTTTTCGTACATAATCGATTTTCCAAACAACCCCAGTCCCCAACTCATTCGGATAATCGATGCTCTACTGTATATTTGCTCTTGCGTGACTTGGTTCTGAAGGGTGCATCTAAAATGTGCCACGGGCGCCGCGTTGCCGACTTCTGCTGTACAGTATAATGGCAATGATTTTATATTCATGGTGGGTATAGTGTATTTTGCCATCATAGTGATTATATATTTTATTTATTTATTTATTTATTTCTGAATTGTATATACACGTAAAAAAAGAAAAAATTTAATAAAAATGAGAAAAAAATAAAATAAAAAATTGTATGAATTTAATTTATTATATTCATCATTTTTCTTCTCTTGGAAAATTTTTAAAAATTTGATTGAATACTTATAAATGCCTGAAGCAACTGTTTTACTAGGAAACGAATACCCACTAACAAAAATCCAGTTTTAACAGATCCGAACAAGGATGTCAAGTACTTCTGTAGGTTGATAATTGTTTAAAAAATAAAAATTGTTTGTTCTAAATTGCAAATTTTTCGCTTGAAAAATATGTAAACTTTTCGAGAATTTAAATTCTTGTTAAAAAGAATTTTTTTTTCACTCTTCTTTTATTTTCTATTTTATTTTTTAAATTATTTTTATGGAATTTGATTAAAACACAAAGTTTAAATATATGTTTTTTTTTTTTTTTTTTTTAGAATTTTATAAAAATATTTATTTAAAATACCAATTTCCAAATACATATTTATAAATTATTAAAATTATATCAGTCAATATTTTAAGGATTTAAAAAGAAAATTATTGAATGATTAATAAAATATTCTTAAGCAAATATTACGCCATCTGCTGTCTACTAAATAAACTAAATTTTAATTAAGCATAAATTAAGAAATTTTTAATTATAATTAATTATTAAAATTTAATAATTTGGTGGCTTATTTAAAAATAGTAAAAATAAGAATTTTCTTAATTTTGTAAGTTAAAAAAAAATTAATGTAAATTACATTTGCAGAGAGATGATTGATTAGGATTTGTTGTTTAACGTAAAATTTTCTCAAGTGAAATATGTTAAGATGGAGACTCGTAACTGTTAAATTCTCATGATAATAATCCCATAAGAGAGAGAAATGTGTTGTTTCTGAGCTGCAGTCATCTGTTCTCTAAACCAGATGATTGGATAACACTAATTGAATTGCAAATTTTCAGCAATGAACGGTTGCACGGGTTACTGAGTGTTGAAGGCGAATTACTCCATAAACTTAATACGAAGGATTAAAATAATTATATGATTAAATAAATATATATGTATTGATAAATAGATAAATTTTCCTGTTGCAAATGTATAATTTTTCTTCCTCTAACTGCCATGGCAGTGAATTAATTTCTCTACGATATACGTCCATTAATATTTAATATTAATTAATATTTTAATGTATTTTGACAGTTATAAACTCGACTTTAATTTAAATTATTATAGTTAAATTTTATTTGTTTATTAGCATATAAGAGGAGAAAAATAAAAAAAGAATTTTAAATTATGTTTCCTCCTAAAGATATCCATTAAATATTCTGCGTAAGATTAAATCTCTTTAACGTTACCTAATGGTTTACAATATAAAATGTCCTCGGAGGGAAATGCTATTCTAAACAAACAAGAGAATCTATAAAATGCTAATTTGACTATTCACTTTTCTGATTAGCCTCATTTATCTTCTATTGGATTTCATTATTGTATGAAGAGCACTTGCATTCACCATTAATCGATAATTTACTGGTTGTAATCATCTCTTAATTACAACTGTACAAGTGTTCATAACAATATTGCCTTGTCCGTTTAATCCTTCATTTTTTATTTATTCTTAAACATTTGCAATCTTTAATACTGCTTTTAGCGATAGTATTTAGTTTGGGATCTACGTTTGCGCTAGAACAACAACAGAATTGTCACCCAGTCTACAAGAAGGTGAGTGAACTCTTAGGATGGACTGTGGACATTTATGGCAATGAAGGCTGCGTGTGGGCAACTAGACGCCTACAGAGATGTTCATGACCTTTTACTTTATATATGCAACATCGAAAACATCTTCGCGAGTTAAATAACTTTCATACCGATTTTTTTTGTTGTTGTTTTTATTTTTCAGCTGTTTATGATGTTACATGTTCGCCTAAAATGATGAAAGTTACCGTCTACATCAATAATTCGGACACGACAGTGTATCTAGAAAGGTTGAAAGGTTATTCAGGTAAATACTTTTCTATTCCCATTATCCGAAACCATTAAATATTTGCAGAAGGATCAAAATACAAAAATTCTCAATTAGCTTGAATTTAATCACGTTTAATTAATTTAATTACCATATCATATTATATTTAAATGTGGAAAAAAAGTGTAATTACCAAAATTAACTGTTTTCCATGAATATTAATATTAATTACACAACGCATTTATTCCTTTAGATTGTGAACCAGAACTGAGGGATGGTTACGCATCTTTTAGACTCCCATTGGATAACATATACAGCTGTGGAACTACCAAAATGCTAAATAAACTCACGGTAAAAAGAATATATTTTTTTAAAAAAGCAATTTAATTTTGAAACTTTTAGCTTATTCTTCTTCTTCTTTTACTATCATTTTTCTTTTATGAGGGCGATAAATCAAAAATGATATAAAGCTCGTATAGAAGGTAGTTTAGGAAGGATTTTTATTATAATTGATTAGCTTCTAACTCATTAAAAGTCATCAGAGATCAACGATAATTTGATAAACAGTTATTCTAGGATAGATAAAAATCTAAAAACATCTATTAAAGTGAATTATTACTTTAGACTATAAAACACTTGATGTAAAATAAACTAAATTAAATTTTCAAGTAATTTATGCAAAATAATTAATTACTTTGATCATTTTTGAAAGTTTGGATGTATTACATTTTAAACTTTTTACTTATTATTTTATTTACTTTTTTAAGGGTCAAAGGATATACTATCACAGAGTCATATTAGAGCATATGAACAAAGACAAAGAAGTCATTTTAGTCCGTTGTGTCATTCCCGGGGATGCAAACAAAAATGGAAAAATTAGAAACGCAAGGAACACATTACCAGAAGATTTCTTTGAGCCAACGTAAGATTTTTACATATTAATTGATTAATTGACTCGAGACCTTCCATAGTTATGCCCATTATGTTCGGGCCTGGCCCTTAATAAAACTATAGTTTAGATTCCGACGATTATTTGGTGTAGTATGGTGGTAGAATTCCTTGCACCAATATATCCAAACAATCTAACCACGACCTTCAATGGATTCGACCTCACTCCTCAATTCCCAATCCTTTATTGAGGAATTGAAAAATGCATAATCTAGTATTATTATCAATGATAAATTATTCGGATTGGAAATGGTTCGATTCAAGATTTCCCATTCTACGCCGTGACCTTTATGTATATCAATGAAATTTGTTTTCAAATTAGAATTTCGAGTATATATTTAATAATAATTTGGTGGCTTATTTAAAAATAGTAAAAATAAGAATTTTCTTAATTTTGTAAGTTAAAAAAAAATTAATGTAAATTACATTTGCAGAGAGATGATTGATTAGGATTTGTTGTTTAACGTAAAATTTTCTCAAGTGAAATATGTTAAGATGGAGACTCGTAACTGTTAAATTCTCATGATAATAATCCCATAAGAGAGAGAAATGTGTTGTTTCTGAGCTGCAGTCATCTGTTCTCTAAACCAGATGATTGGATAACACTAATTGAATTGCAAATTTTCAGCAATGAACGGTTGCACGGGTTACTGAGTGTTGAAGGCGAATTACTCCATAAACTTAATACGAAGGATTAAAATAATTATATGATTAAATAAATATATATGTATTGATAAATAGATAAATTTTCCTGTTGCAAATGTATAATTTTTCTTCCTCTAACTGCCATGGCAGTGAATTAATTTCTCTACGATATACGTCCATTAATATTTAATATTAATTAATATTTTAATGTATTTTGACAGTTATAAACTCGACTTTAATTTAAATTATTATAGTTAAATTTTATTTGTTTATTAGCATATAAGAGGAGAAAAATAAAAAAAGAATTTTAAATTATGTTTCCTCCTAAAGATATCCATTAAATATTCTGCGTAAGATTAAATCTCTTTAACGTTACCTAATGGTTTACAATGTAAAATGTCCTCGGAGGGAAATGCTATTCTAAACAAACAAGAGAATCTATAAAATGCTAATTTGACTATTCACTTTTCTGATTAGCCTCATTTATCTTCTATTGGATTTCATTATTGTATGAAGAGCACTTGCATTCACCATTAATCGATAATTTACTGGTTGTAATCATCTCTTAATTACAACTGTACAAGTGTTCATAACAATATTGCCTTGTCCGTTTAATCCTTCATTTTTTATTTATTCTTAAACATTTGCAATCTTTAATACTGCTTTTAGCGATAGTATTTAGTTTGGGATCTACGTTTGCGCTAGAACAACAACAGAATTGTCACCCAGTCTACAAGAAGGTGAGTGAACTCTTAGGATGGACTGTGGACATTTATGGCAATGAAGGCTGCGTGTGGGCAACTAGACGCCTACAGAGATGTTCATGACCTTTTACTTTATATATGCAACATCGAAAACATCTTCGCGAGTTAAATAACTTTCATACCGATTTTTTTTGTTGTTGTTTTTATTTTTCAGCTGTTTATGATGTTACATGTTCGCCTAAAATGATGAAAGTTACCGTCTACATCAATAATTCAGACACGACAGTGTATCTAGAAAGGTTGANATATTTTAACATTTATTTTTACTTATTTATTTATCTTAATTACGAAAAAATATTTTATAATTAAGATTTTTCTAAAACTTAATTATAATTAAAATTAATCAAAATCGTCTCCATTTAATTACAATTTACGAAAACCGTTAAAAAGAGAATTTAAACTCCAATTAAGCAAAGTTAATACTGTTTAATCGTGATTAGTGATAAAACAGTGATTAATTAATTATAAATTATTTTATTTCTATTTTAGACACGTTAACATAACAGATTACATAGAAGCACACGCAGCGGTACCATATTTAAGTCTGACATTAAAACAGAATGGTAGATTTCTAGATACAACTCTTAACGTGCAACCGGGAACACCCTTAGAGATGATGATTTTTCTCGATAAGAAAAGTTCAGGTAATTTTTTTTAAAATTATAAATAAAATAAAGAAAGTACATACAAAATAATCTTAATTAATTATTTATCTAAACAGAAACATACGGTCTATTGACGAGTTATTTAAAAGTGACAGACAATACACCGGATCAAGAAGAAATTATAATTATGAACGGGTAAACATTCTTGAATTCTCTTTCAAAATATATTTAAAATGCAAATTTAATCAATGAGAACTAATTATTATTAAATAAAATATAAATTTTTCATTTTCTAGATGTTCAATAGATCCTTACATATTTGGTAATTTCGAAACAAATGATAATGGAAAGACTCTTTCAGCAAAATTTCGAGCATTTAAATTTCCTGAATCTAATTATGTTTTGTTTGTTGGTACAGTCAATGTTTGTCTACAGCAGTGTAAAGGGGTGAGAAAATATTTATTTTATTCATTTACTATTTATTTATAGTTAACATCCGTTAAGGAGAATTTCTCTTTGGTTTTAAATTATTTATACTTGTATTCCTGTGTTATTGTAGTAATAGAATGGGATATTTTATCCTTTTTTTTTTTTTTTTTGATTAAATGAACGATTGTTATTCTTTACAGATCCATGAAAAATAATTAATTTTAAGTACACATATTGTGTAAATAATTGCTAGAATCTTATTTGATTTTCTTTTATTGATTAAACAATTGTTTTTGTTATGCTTTACATTTGAATTTAATTAAAATGTAAAAATAATAAGAAAAAGTGATGTTTTCTATAAACATAATACACATTTTAAGGTATCCTTTTTTAATTTTTTCTAGTTGGTATTTTTTAATTTCAAAATATGTATTTTTCCACAATAATATATCAAAAAATTCCTGAATGCCAACTATTTTAATACCAATAATATAATATAAAAACTCAAAAAATGTTTAAATATTTATGGATAAATAAATAAATTTTTTTAAATATATTTTTTTGCATTGTATAAATACAGAGTGGTCTAAAAGTCAGTTGCTGAATAAATTTTACGAATTTTTAAACAGCTGCATGTTATTATTCGTGTTTTAGTCGCTTCCATTAATCTTAAAGTAGTCTTGGTTAACTGACTTTTGGGTTAACCTGTATAATAATAATAATAATAATTAAGAAAAAAATGAAGAAATTTTGGCTTTATTTTCGATTATATTTCGAACTTAAATATAAAATTATAGATGAGAATTTCACTTTAATTTATTAATCAAATTTTAATTAAACTTGTAGTTTATAATTATCCAATTTAGCAATTCTTAAACCTAATTAATAAACTATAATTTATTTTATATTTTGTAATATCTCTTGAATAAAGATGAAAGTTTTATTTATGAAATGCCACAGAATGAAGTGACAGTAAATATATTAACCTTGGTATATACATAAAATAAAATTAACTATAAAAATTGATGTATGTATCTGTCATTTTAAGTGAAATGTGATAGACGTTTACATTAAAAGCTTTCATATAATAATTATTCTCGGAATTTAGTTATTTAAATATATTAATTTAATAAAATACAGGTTATAAAATAAAATTTCGAATTTTTCCGCCTATTTTCAAGTTGTTTATGTAATTTATTTTAGTATTTAAGCGGAGGCGGATTTGAACCTGTTGTGGCTCTAAGCTATAATGTTTAAGAGGTCTTTCCCCTCTACCACATAGTAATAAATTTAAAAATTTGAGGCCTTAAACTGCAGCGTCGTAACATATGATCTTAAGCTATAGCTTGTTTAATTTAAATATAAATCGGGTCCTATATTTAAGAGAGAATCAGCTATTTACATTACAATTTTCTTTCTTTTTTTACCATTTTTAAGAGTTAAAATAAGTAGAATAATCTTCCTTAATTAAACTAATATATAGTCCAGAAAATTATGAAAATCGAACACACTTTCCGTAGACATTTAACTCGCTCCCTGACCGGAAATCCAGGATGAGAGCTTCTTAATGTGATTTATAAACTAAACATTAATCGAAGACTCTTATGGTTCACAAACCAGTTCCAATTTAGTAACCCTTAATCCAGCTTATCACTTGATTTACTTTGTGGATCAAGTATTTTATTTTTATTTTGTAGACTTACATAAAATTTGTTCTTTACGGATTCGAAATTTTTGTAGGTGCCTTGCGGAAACGATCAGTTTGGTTATGGTAGAAAGAAGAGAGAGATACCAGCGGAACTCCCTCAAGATCCAAATCGTGTGTTTGAAGTAGAAATGACAGCTTTCTTAAAAGTGGAATATGATCCTAATCATTTTAGTTTGAATAAAGGTAAAGTTAGCAACTAGAGAACTTACTATTATTCCCTTTTTTTATTTTAAAATCACTACTATATAAGATCGCATTAATCTTATTTATAAACTTCCTGAATATGTAATCATTATTCTAGGCTCAATATTTGGAAAATATGACGATGCGGTATCCAATCATCTGACTCAAACGGAAGATTCATCATCTTCGATTTCACCAATTTTATTTTTGATTATCATTTGCGTGCTGCTCAATTACTAACTGTCAAACGGTAAATCACAGACATGAACTTTAACACAGGCAGGAAACTTTTTTCCTTTTTTGGCCAGGATTTCGACTGAGCCAGAAGCTTTCGGCTGTGCAAGTCACCAACTAACTGAGACATGGGCCTATATTGTGGTGAAGAAGTGAATCAGTTTAGTTATTTCTTTCGGTAACAAATTCGGATTTTTGGAAAAACTATAAAGCAGGATTATGACATCATTCAATGCCAAATTTTATATATCTGGCTACTAGAAAGATTCTCATTTGGATATAAAGAAAAAAGAAAAAAAAAATTATCATAAATCGCGCCTTGGATGAATTACAAAGTGGTGTTAAACAGGGCAAATTTTTAATTTATCTTGATTTTATTTTTTATTTTTTGTTGTTCGAATTAAAAATTTGTAAGTTATTATTCACTTCTTTTACATGTTTTTATTATTAAAATATATGGAATAAAATTTCTTGGCAGTCAAAGTTTGAAAGTTTTGATTGTTTTATCACCATTTTGCGAAGTAAAAATAAAGGAAAATAATCAAAATTTAAATAAAATAACTGTATTTTAAAACTGTGATAAGATTTTAAGTGATTTTTTTTTCTGGTTAAACTCTGAAGAAATTTGAAAGCATTTTTACTCTTAAAAACCTCAAATTATTAAATCTAAAAATACAAAAATAAAATAAAAGTTTGGTCATTTTAAGAACCAAATTTTCCATTAATGAAAAATAAAAAACAAATAATAATAAAGAACTATTTTTTGTACAAACTATTCTTACAAAACAAATAAAAAAAATCATTGAAATAAATCCGATTTATATTGAAAAATATCTTTAAAAACTTTAAATAAATCATTAAAATTCCCTTCTCATACCGAAATTCAATGCGAAATATAAAAAAAATATATAAAATAATTTTAAAATATAA